AATCAGAATACCTACCCCGCTGCCACTTCAAAGTGACGGTACCCTAATTCGCGGCTCCAGAGTCCAGTCCCCGTCGATCGGTTACCACCCGGGGTACCGTAGCAGGAAACGCGGACCCGGGTGGTGACCGACCAGTGTCCGCTATGGCCCCGGGGTTGTCAAAGCCCGGTACCAACTACCTACGTAGTTTAACAGTTAACCTTGACCGACTCGGAGGCCCATGCAGGCCCAGCCCCGTGGGGACCCACTAGGTGGTGGCGTGCAGGGGGAGGAAATTCGCGACGCTGCAGCCTGGGCCTCTGTAGGGCGGTCCTGGCGCGGTACCACATGCGCGTCGCTCAATAAAACGAAGAAGCTGCTGCAGTGCAAGCTTGAGGCCGCTCCTGGTCATGCTGCGGCTGTGGCTGCAACTGCAATTCCGTGACCACTGTTCCAGGTGAGCAGGATTGAGCGGCTATAGTGCTTGTATTTTTCCCAAGCCTAAGGGCTTTTTCCTGCTCTGAGGTTCTGCAACGTGTTATACAAGTATTTGGCTGGTCCACTGTGGCTGTAATGTGAAGCTAGGTTGAGGACTTTGTTCTTGTACCTGCTGTTGTCAGTATTGCATGGTGCAGCAAATGGTTGTTGATTGGCAGAAGCGCTTTTGTCAATTGACTCGTTGACTTTGGCTTCTTAGCAAGTGTTGATGGTCTGTGGGTTCTCAACTGGACTTTATGATGGGCCGGTTTTAATCGACGTTGCATCGGTGCGTAGGCGTCAAGTTTTGGCTCTCCTTCTGCTTTTTGCTGAATCGTGGAAATTCAGGCTCTGCAGAAATATCCATGAAACAGGGTACGCAATTCCAGCAACGCCCCATAAGTGGGGCAGCTTTATCATTTAGCTCTGATGGTTGTGCTTGCAGCGGCCATCTTTCTCCTTTAGCAGGGGTTGAAGCGGACAATACTGGAACAAGTTCTGAGCTTTTGTGAGATATTTGTCCACTCTTTTGACTTGTGCAGCCCCTAGATGTAAAGGGTTCAAGCGATCTTGTGGTGGTTGCAGTATGCCCCAGCATTGCGACACAGCCTGTGATGTTGCTATCGTGCTCCTGCAGTCTCTAGAGTATGGCGTCTACATCGTTGCTCGGAGCTCATCGCGCGGGTGCCTGCTTCTCGGGGGTGCTGGACATTGGTAGAGGCCATCATCGCTCCACAGCATTGCGAGCGGCGCCTGTTCTATCAAAGCAGCAGTCAGGAAGGAGGGAACACTGGCATTGCGCCACTTCATGCTCAGCACGTTTTAGGCTGATAGAAAGCAATGACGAACAAGAAGGCCCAAAGCTTACAGGCACTGGGGCAAGGGGGGCGGCGAGCAAGCTGCCAAGGACCAGGCGGGTGTTGCGGCATGTCGTACATGCTATTGCTGATGAGGAGCTGAACCAGAGTTCCAGACAGGCCCATGACGAGGAGGCGACAGGTAGGCCTCTCCTTGGCTTTGCTACAGGTCAGATGGTGCAATGCTGAGCGGAGTCGCTGCCTAGAGAGCTGATAGGAGTACAGCACAGGGAGAATCATGTAGAACAGCATGGCAGCTTCTGTACACTTTTGCCTTCCAAAATTGCGCTTGCTAGTTGACGTTGAGAGATTATTTCTTTCAGACAGTTCCAGGTCGATGTGGAGGACTGCTTCTGTGTGCCATCACTTTTTCCTTCAAGACATGACTATGCGCTTATGCTGGAGATTCCACCGATCAATGTTGGCGCCACTGCTCTTTGGTGTCTGACCCGTAGTGGCCTCGTCTCCTGGTTATCCATGGTCCTCCCCTCTTCTGCTTGACAAAGATGGGTCTCTGTATGCAGTGGCCCCCTCGTCCAGCGATGCTGTTGATGCTGACGCTGCCGCCTCGCCCTCAGGGCTAGGAAGCAGTCCCGCTCACGTGGACGCAGCAGAGACTTCTCACGAAAACGGGGTATCAGGTGAGAACACCCCAAAAGTCCTCCTTCAAACGGTTGGCCTTGAGGGCCCCCTGCGGCAGGCCGGACCCACATGGGCCAGGTTCCTGGTGCAAGCGGAACATCTTAAGCCTTGTGGCTGCACCTGTGCATTCCTGTGCACTGGGTTCTTTGCACGTCAACGATTCTGAGGACTGCAGCCTGGTGGTAAGGTTTTCATGCATGAACAGCTCCGTGAGCATACAGGCACGGGCGCAGCAATTGCCCTTCTAGGGTGTGCCACTTGTTTGTTGGGCCACTGATTTGGTCCATTTATCAGATGCGATTCTACAAGACCGCAGATGGCAGATCGGCTGCAACCCCAGCGCGGGGCCACAGTGACACAAACAAACCTTGCCAGTAGGGAATGTCTGCTGCACAGCGGCTGAATGGCCGGAAAAGGCGTTTGATGTCCTTTTCAGGGGCTTTCGAGTATTCTTCTTGCGAAGGACTCGGTGGTACGCTGGCGAATTGTTGTCTTGCACTGCTTCCATGGGCGTCACTCGGGTGCGGCACCGCCTGTCTGACGTGCCCCCTCCCCTGCAGATGGTGCGCGCTCGGTGGCGGCGTCTGCTGCGGAGGTGGTGGCGGGCGGCGAGGCGCTGCCCCCCGACTTTTGGGAGGACACGTACCTGCCGGCCACCACGCGGCGCGACCTGGAGGAGGCGTCCCCGCTGCAGAGCTTCCTGTTCCCCGACCCGACGGAGCTGCCAGACGATGTGGAGATGAGCGTGTGGGACCACCTGGAGGAGCTGCGGCAGCGCGTCTTTGTCAGCGTGGGCGCGGTGGGCGCCGCCATTGCGGGCTGCTTCTGCTACGCCAACCAGCTGGTGCAGGTCCTGGAGGCGCCCGTCGCATCCACCGGCGTGCGCTTCCTGCAGCTCTCCCCGGGGGAGTACTTCTTCGTCACCCTCAAGGTGGGGCCACCCCCCTTCTGCCTCGCAGCCCGTGCACAGCTCTTGACCTGTACTCCTATCGCTGCTCCAGTGCCTGCCCCAGCGGGTCTCGACCAGGGAGGGCGGTATGGAAATCAGCTTACAGAAATGACTCTCGGGTTTCGGCTCTCGGGAAAGTCCGGGTTCAAGAAACAACCATAGGGGGTTCAGTTCTACCCTGTGACGGAACCCCTCTTGCAGAGTCTGCGGGTTTCTTGCAGGCGCCCGCTTATAGGTCATTCAAAACTATTTTAGCAGCTTGATGCAAATCAAGGGCTTAACCTTTCTTGTTCACGTCCGGCAGAGTCGTACAGGTGTATCGGTTCCGAGATGAGGGATGTTTCTAAAATCTCGGATTTTGTCCGCTGTGCTCCATACCCGCCCTCCCAGGCTCTGCTGTATCCACCCCTGTCGTGCTGGCGCTGTGTTGCTCGCCAGGTGGCCGGCTACTCGGGCCTGCTGCTGGGCAGCCCCGTCATTGTGTACGAGATCATCGCGTTCGTGCTGCCCGGGCTGACGCGCAGCGAGCGCCGCTTCCTGGGCCCCATCGTGCTGGGCAGCAGCGTGCTGTTCTACGCTGGGCTGGCCTTCTCGTACAACGTGCTGGTGCCGGCCGCGCTCAACTTCTTTGTGACGTACGCGGAGAACGTGGTGGAGTCCATCTGGTCCATCGACCAGTACTTCGAGTTCGTGCTCGTCCTCCTCTTCAGTACCGGCCTCGCCTTCCAGGTAAAGCCCGCCTCGCGCGTTTTGACCTGGCGACGTGTCCTGGACGGTCATCGCTCTTTGCCCTCGCTGTGTCAGTCTTGGGAGCGGGGCGGAAGTTGAAGCCGCTCCTTCGCTGTGTGGCCGACCTGCCCCCTCTCCTTCACGTTTGATGGGGCGTCTATGCTTCGTCCTCGTTGTCACTCCTCCTAAGCACGCCTCAAACTTGCTCATACCGCCCATTGCTGAAGCCTGCCAAGATCATTGCCAAGATTGTTGCCTGCCGGCACATCAGCCTAGAATTTGTACCCTGCTATGTCGATTATGCGGCCAGGCAGCTAAGTCTCGTCTCCTCTGAGCTTCTCACATGAGGAAGAGAGTACGAAGGCCCTCTAATCTACATAGCCTTCACTTGTTTGACACAAGGTTTCCTGCTTCACCCCGTCCCTCCTTCGCCTCGTCCGTGTGCTCTTGTTCCCTGGCTTGACGTGTGGCCCTGGCGCGCGCGCGTGCAGGTGCCGGTGATCCAGCTGCTGCTGGGCAGCACGGGCCTGTTCACCTCGGAGCAGATGTTCAGCATCTGGAAGTACGTTGTCGTGGGCGCCGTTGTGGCCGCAGCCGTGCTCACGCCGTCCACGGACCCCCTGACGCAGATGCTATTGGCAGGTCCGCTGATTGCATTGTACTTCGGGGGGGCTGCCGCGGTGAGGTTCACAGAAAAAGCGAAAGGAGCGGGTTGAGATGAGGAATTGGACGCTATTGTACCATTTTTGGAATTGAACGAGTGCGAATGGAAATAGTATGCCTCGTTACATTGAATCGGGGAACAAGCAGATAAGCTGAGCCCCATGCAAAAACGGATCTCGGGTTATAAACGTTGATCGCTTAAAGTTCACCTTGAGATGTCTAAGCTGATCATGTACGGTTGTGCAATGCGCTTTACGAGGTCGATTCTTGCTTTTAAAATTCTGTGACATACATGCATGGCGCTATATTAAGTTGTGAGCTAGGCGGCTTACATGCAAGGCAGTCGACTAGATTGGTGATCATTCATTGCTTGCACAATATGTTAGTTGGCAGGCCGGCTATACTAGCTGCAAACTCAATGGCATGCACACGACCGGACCGTCCAATTGATTCTACTCTTTGATTCAATCATGTACTAGGTAGATATGATCAGCATATTTTCGGCAAAACTAGTGCATTTGCTTCCTCCATGCACGTACGCTCGCGACTTTAGTACGTGAGTGACGCGCGGCATGTACACGTGGCGCCACATACGTTGATGCATGTGTCGTGAGTACAGCTGTACGTAGTTGCTTGATCGAGTCGAAGCTACATCACCATATGTCACATATATTGACAAACATATCGTCGACCATGCTGCATATGATCGATAGTCCTTCGAAGGACTATTCTGAGGCCCGCCGTTGCGCGCACTGGCATGACGTATGATCGAGACAGTCGAGATTGATGTTAATTTATATTCGATAAGTTGCATATGCCATGAATTGCGTACTGAAGTCAGGCATGGCCGTGCATGTTCGACGCGCCTGGATTCCTCTATGTACTGTCTTACACAATGTACAAAAGCAGTTTCTTGAGAATTGCACCAGGCTTAGCACTCACTATGAATGGGACCTTGCAATGTTTTCAAATTATCAGAGCACTTTGACAAGATCAACCGCTGTCAAGAAGGACCCTCCTCATTTTCTGAGTCCTCGTCGTCATCGTCTTTGTAGTCTTGTAAGCCGAGGAGCCCGCTCTGTACTGTCTGCTCCCGTAGAGCTTGTCCGTCCTTTTCCAGTTCGCCCCGAACTTGTCTCAGGCTTCCAGTATCAACCTGTTCCGCTTTGAGCTTCTTTGGTTGCGGCTTAAGCTTGACCATGCTCGCTAGCACAGCAAGTGGCTTCTCTGCTGGACGCTTGACCATTTTCACGGGTTCACCACCCTGCATTGAGGCCATGATCCTGTAAGGAATCCCTCACAAGTGTATTCTTAAATCAGCACTCACGTGTTCGTGTATTCTCGTCACGTACATGCATCTGACGAGTAGCCAATCCAGTTCGTAGCGTTTTGGCTTACCTTCAAACTCCGCTGCTTTTGAACAGGAGTGATCTCTGTTCCGAGTTGCTTCTCTAAAAGTGCAGCCTGCATCGGCAAAGGTCAGTCCTTTGGTGATACTTACTGCACCAAGACAAAATGCATGTCCTGCTAGAAGTTGATTGTAAAAGGAATGCGACTTTGCGCAAATCGTGCATCAGCACCTTATGTCTGCATTTTCCATGAAAACAAATCGTGGGCCTTACCCTTATCCTACTTCTAAGAGTTCATTCCACTTTTCTTCTGCCCCAAGTCGCATCCCGAGAGAACACTTCAAAAAGAGTCGGTTCTAAACCAGTTCGCTTGCATGTTTGATGATGTTGTAGCCCTGGGTTTCGAGTTCTTGTTCTAGATTCTTCACCTGAAAAGAAGCCAGCTCTTGTGCCTCAGCATCACGCTGAAGCTTCTCTTGTTCGCGTTGGTGCTGCACGAAAGAATAGCGCTCCTCAAAACCTTGGCCACAGGTGTCACAACCCTCAAGACAGAGTTCGTACCTACCAAAAGCTCTGTTTCGATGCTTTCTCACACTGACACATGTTTGAAAGCCAGTTTTAAAACAACCAGAGATGGGAACGTTTTATTGCGTGGGCACGCTTGCTTGCCCGTAGTGGTGCCTCACCAGGTCCACCGCGTCCAGGAAGTGCACCTCGTCCTCGTCCAGGGCTTTCTGGGTCTCTGGAAAAGATAGCTTCTCAGGAGCAAACAACAATGGATAACGACACATGACAAGGCCAAGCTTGCATGTCCAGTTTGGGAAGCTATCTCCAGCACTAGCATGAGAGACCCAGAGACTATTCGATTGCGTATTATCGACAGAGTGGAGGGACTCCAGCACTGCTTGTCTGTGTAAAAATAAGCAGTACCATGCCAAGAGGACGATACTGCGCGACAGCGCTTGACTCACTGTGCCGATGCTTCTCCGTCCACTCTGCGTCCTTGACCTCCTTGTTGGCTTTCAAAATCTGCCAATCGCGCAAAACAGTCACTCCAATTATCAAGTGGCAACACGATATGACCTGTCCGAGGGGCTTGTGCATATGAAGGCTGACTCTACCATGTGTGAGGTCTGAACAGGGGGGCTCCAGAGCTGGCCTGGGTGTGGCCCCTTCTCTAAGTTTGAACAACACTGTCAATCACACCCTCTGAAGCTGGGCCACATGTGCCTCTCCTGCCCCCCCGGTCAGTGCATCCGCTGCGGCTCCTGCTGGCCCCTGGCTGTGCTGGCAAATGGCGCAAATGGCGCAGCGCACGTACCTCCCACAGCGGCTTGTCCACAGCGACAGTCCCATCCTCGGGGCGCCCCCCTCGCGCCGCCTTCAGCTCGTCCAGCTGCAGGCAGGCCCGGGGGTGAGGTGCTGAGGGGAACTGTCTCTCAATGACAAGCTGCCGTGTTTTACTGCTCTTCCCAATGCTTAGACGAGTGGCACAGCACTTCCGTCCTAGTAATCACAGTATTCTGGCAGGCCTTTGCTTCATACAAGTATGGAGACTTCACTAGTGACAGCCACTCAACACTTCATGATGGTGCACTTGTATCCAATGCAAGCCTGACTTGGACATTTTTAACGTGCTTGCTGGGTCTAGACTTGACGATGTCATGACCCCACATCCGCACAGAGCAAAGCAGCGTGCTTGAACATTTCCTCACCTGCTGCATTGCTTACCTGCTTCTCTGAGACAAAATTCATCATACGGCCTTCGTCGCCCATCTTGCCACCTTCTTGTCAGACGCAATCCAACTTCATAGCATTCTTGCAATGAGCAATGTCCACATCTTGGTTACGGCCACACCACAGCGGCATTATTCAACCGAAGAGCTGCCCAACCCTCATTGGGTGGCTGCCCAACCACGTAGTCAACTGGATGTTCCAGAGAGGTGAAGCCGTGGCACTGGTCCGGCAGTGATGGTTCGTCGTGTCCTCACTGCGCTCGAGCAAACTTGAAAGCAGCCGAACTTCTCTACCTGCACTGGCCACAGACCTTCTAGAGCTGTCAGTGTAAGATTATAGCAGAAGATCTTTGGAGAAGAGTTGCCCGGGGCCGGAGCTTGCGGACGCAGCCTCGCTGCCTCAGCCTCGCGGAGGTTTCTCAATCGCCAGCCCGAAGCACTACCTAATACCGGTAGGGTTGTTCCGTGTGCTGAGCGAAGCTTGACGAACAACCGGGTATACCCTGTAGTCTGTGACATAATAGGGTTTGTACGTTGACGGTTTGTGAGGTCGTGCAACCGGGTATTTGATTAAATACTGTGGCTGCACAAAGATGTAGTAGTTATACCATGAGAGCTCGGCGATATCGATGGTTCGCGTCGAACGAGAGCTGATATTCACCCGAGGGCGGAGCCCCGAGGGGGATATCAAGCTCGAGGTCGACAAGAAACCTTCGATATCCACGAGCTCGAATGGTATAACTCGCTTATCGCTTAGTCCGGACACTGCATCGGCGTCGAACCTGCTTAGAGTTTTCTGATATACCCCTCCGCGGCGGGGTATATCAGCGATATCTCCCTGCCACGTGATTCGACTTCGAAACATTTGTGATGGCTCCCGGCAAAATGGCTGAGCGAAAAACCCGGACGGGCGATAAAGGGTTTAATAATACCTAGTACCGTAGTAACGCCCCAGGCATACTCCTAGGTTTCCAGTTGATAAGGCTCCCCGGTAATCTCAGACAGTGCTCGGTGAACGATATACGGTAGGTACTTTCGACTGCCTCTTGCTGCATGCGCGTGCAGCGAGGTGCGCGAGTGCCGGCCTTGAAGTTGCGGCTCGGACTTTTCTTCTTCAGTCCAGCTCTGGCAGTCTGCAGGGCACCGGCATTGCTTCCGTTGCCCTGCCAATTGGCACATGGAAAGGGCAGCCATTGGGATTAGGGCGCTCTGAAGTTTGCAAGTACGAGGAGCATGGTGTTGGAGGTTAAGCGGGGGGCCTGCGCTTGTTTTACCGCTTGCTAGGAGACCTCTAAGAGATAATACAGTCTCCCACTATGGCGAACTGGCCGCCCCCGTATATGCTGCAAGGTGCGCCCTCCATTTCCTCTGCTGTTGGGGCGCAATCTGCAGCGTCCGTCCTGGCTGGCGGGGACCACCAGCCATCCTCGTCCGTGACCAGCCCCAGTGCGCGCAGCAGCCGCGCGCCCTCCGTAGGCCCTGCCCCTGCCCCTTCACTCTCATCGCACGCCCCCGCCAACTCGTCCGCCTCCGCAGGCTCCATAGAGGCGAGCGCAGCCAGCACGATCAGGCCCCCCTCCGCAAAGAGGAAACGAAAAGAGGCGGCTCCTAAGCCAGAGAAGCGCTTGGCAAGGTGAGAATCTAGGGTTCTGAGCGAGTGCAGGGTAATTCTGATCAGTGGGTACAAATATGAGCTGCCCTCTGTGCATGATAGCTACCAGCAAGGCACTCACAATTCAGCACCAGTCATATCCAAAAGAGGAATCTAGGGTTTGGAGAAAGTGCAGGGCCATGATCAGTGGTTATCTCAATGAGGTGTTTTGCAGCACTAAGTCATCGCCACTCGGCTTCCCCAGGCCCTGATTGCATGCATGCACTTGTTGACCCCCAATTTAGGCCCTAGTGACCTAGACTAGGTGTGGGCATGATGGCAGCACTGCCGGGCCTGGCTGTGGCCCCCGCAGGGCAATGCAGCCAACTGCTTTTGGGAGCAAACCAGCATGGTGACCCTCTCACACAGCCATGCCACCCCGCATTGTGAGTGTAGAAGGATTGAAAGGAACAACTCCCGGGGGGGTAAATGAGGAACATGTTTGTCTCTCATGAACACAGCTGTCAGCTCTCCCATCTATAGACCTGGGGGCTGTCATCATTTGATGGATCACGTGATATGCATGCTGGGCCCCGGCTGGACCGCGCTGGCCATGCTGGGGGCTTGCCCCCTGCCCCTGTGCTCAGGCATGTGCCCCCCCTGCGCTGGCAGGTATGTATCGAGCCCCAACATGAAGGTCCTGGAGAAGATGCAGCGCGCCTTTACGCACCGCCTCTACCTCATCGAGCGTGTCGGGCCTGATGGCAGCGAGGCGCGAGTTGACTACCGCGTGCTGGGCGCCACTGGGAATGTGTATACAGTCACTCTGGCGCGGCAGCCAAGGTTTGTTCACTAACATGCTGCTGTGCCCATTTTAGGATCGCAATTAAGAGGGCACCGCCAGTCCCTGGCCCACAGGTTTGCTAAATTGGTCCTTTAACCAACTATTGGTGTTTTACCATGTTGCGTCCGTGAGTACTTCTGATGGGTTTGTTCTGCGCTCCGCTAGCAAGGCCGTCGTCCTGCGTCTACCTCTGGTTTGTCAGACAGTACAGGATGGTCCTTTGCCATGTGCCGTAGCAAGCGCTGCCTCTTGGCCGCTTGTAAGCTTGCCTGTGTAGGCTGGCACACAGCACTCCTTCGCAAGACGGCGACAGGGTGATCTCTCCCCCCCGCGTGTGTGCGCCTGCAGCTGCACCTGCCCCGACGCGGCCAAGGGCAACACGTGCAAGCACTGGCTGTTTGTGGTGCTGCGCGTGCTCAAGCTGCCGCGCGACGACCCGCGCGTCTGGCAGAAGGCGCTCCTCTCCACGGAGCTGGCTGACCTACTGGACAAGGACAAGGCCGCCTGTGACGAGACTGCCGCCGCAGGTGAGCCCAGCCTGCCACCCCCGCGACTGCAGCCAGCCCTGGGCAGGTCCAATGATACCCAGCGATGGTATTTGGCGTTGATCGTGAAGTTGTTGGGCGCAGCGGGTCGGAAAGCCGGGCCTGTAGTGCCGGGACTATTCTGATCTGAGGCAAGTTGTTGAGTCCATAGGCATGTAAGAAGAGGCACAAGGTAGGAGATCACTTTCGACCTGCTCAAGGAAAACTGCTGTGGGTCACCAGAGAGCCACTTGGCTTTCAAGGGCTTGCCCGCGCCCTCTGGTGGCGCAGCAGCCAGTACGGTCTCCCTCCACAAGCGTCTGTACAGCGCAGTGCCCAGGGCCGCCTGGCGCACCCGGTGGCGCTGCCACACTGGCTGCCTGCCATGCCGCCAGGCTGGACCGCAATGGTCCCCTACACCTGCTCTGGCGTCCCCCTGTGCACCGCCAAACTCTGAATGGCGCCCCCGTTCACCCTTCCCGGTTGTAGGCGTGGTGGCGAGCGACCTAGTGCGGCGGCGGTATCACGAGGTGGTGGGCACCAGCGAGGGCGCCAAGGAGCACGCGGAGGAGCTGCTGGGCAGCGTGCAGCGGCCGCTGGAGGGCGACTGCCCCATCTGCTTTGAGGAGCTGTCCCCCGAGGGCCGCCCCGGGGAGCCCGTCGTGTTCTGCCACACGTGTGGCAACAACATCCACCGCGACTGCTTTGCGCGCTGGAGCCAGAGCAAACCCAAGGGCCAGGTGCGTGGCCCCAACCCGGCGCACCAGAAATTTTCTCAATGCAAGGGCCGCCAGGACTGAGACCGCAGCACAAGGTCGCTTTGAGATCGTTATGCTGGTGGTTTTCCTTGCCTGCTCTGGTGCGGTTGGTTCCACAGCAGCCTCCTACTGCATGTCCGGATGACAACCTCGACGGCTCTGGCTGCTCGTCCTTGGCCGGGGGCTGCCTCACCCGTGCCTGAGTCCCTGCTACCCTGGCAGGTGACGTGTGTGTACTGCCGCTCCAAGTGGGCAGCGGAGGGCGGCCTTCCTGCGGACGGCGGGGCGCCCGCTGCGGAGGGTGGCTATGTGAACCTGGCCGCCTTCAGTAACGACCACCAGGACGTGTCTATGGAGTCGCTGTACCCCGCCACGTACGAGTGGATTGGTAGGCCGCGCGGGGGGAGGCGAAGTTGGGGGTATAGGTAGGATGAAGCTACGGAATGTGGCTCGTCTTTGTACATTGGGGGTTTTACTGACTAAACGGGGGACAGTCTAGGGCATGTGTCACGAGGTATGATCTACAAAGTAGGTGCTTGGGAGACCGTGACCCTTCTGCATGTGGCGAAGTCATCATGCTGGTGAGCAAGCTCCGCGAGGTTCGGTTGGAAAAACAGCGTGTTACGCTTTATGCTCTTTCAGCTTCTAGATGGATGTACGGAAGTCCATCAACATAGCAGCTCAGTATGGATCAAGGCCTTTGTGGCAAACCCAAAGCCGGCAATGATTCGTTAACGAGCTAGGACAACTTGCCCTTATTTTCGATGACGTTTTCAACCTGCCATTCTATGGTGGACAAAGGTCGTCGGGTAATGGCGATGGGTTCTAATTGAACACTCAAGGAATTGCACTTGAAGCCTTTCAAGGTGGCTGAGCCACTGGTGGTGGCACAAAAACGATGGCCGCAGCGTAAAGCACTACCGAAAAGCCCCCTGGCTGCCAAACCGGCGGCCCAGGTTGCTCATACATGGTGCAGGCCTGCATGACTCTTGTTGGAAGCGTTAATCACGCTCTCTCTAGGCTCTAGACGTCTGGATGCAATTTCAGTGTATATTGCTTCAAGCTCATTGCTAATTCTCAAAGTTGTCAGTGTCTAAATCACAACAGTATGTACGTAGCTGGCGGTGCCAAACCGGCGGCCCAGGTTGCTCATACATGGTGCAGGCCAATTGCATGACTCCTGTTGGAAGTGTTAATCACGCTCTCTCTAGGCTCTAGACGTCTGGATGCATTTTCAGTGTAGATTGCTTCAAGCTCATTGCTAATTTTCATGCAAAGTTGTCAGTGTCAATTACAACAGCGGTATGTAAATAGCTGGCGGTTGAGCGGATTACGCACTCTAATTAGTATGCCTTGAATATCATCATTACATGATGACCGTCGACACCATGTGTGCACACATGTAATCCAATGATATGCATGCAAACGTTACACAAGCAACCTACGGTGGGTATGGGCGGTATCGATCGCGCGACGAACCGGTCACGAAAATGTGTCACCGGTGTCACGCGTCGCGACAAATTATGTACGCATTTGACGACCGTACTCGGCGGTACTTAAGAATCAGGTCCGAGTTCATGAATTGCAAAATTTCTGACAACTCGAACTCCGTACTCTTCGGCGGTACGGTACCGTCGCGCGAGGCCCGAGTCTGCGGGTCCGTAAAATTTCAAATTTATGGTCTTCGTCGGCACTTCCGACTCGAACCAATTAGGAGTACCGCGGTACCTAGAATGGAAGAAGAGTGCACGAAGCTGAAAGACTAGTGTAAGAGAAGGCGCTCTTTCAGCACCAACAATGGCGGCCAACTTTGCGCCTCCTAAGCAGCTTTTTGCGATTTGTCCCCAACATAACATGGACTTGGAGCTTCAAAGGACCCCCAATGACGCCTTCCCAACATTTATTTTTGCTTGTCAGACGTTTCTACATGCTGCATAAGCCTCTCCTTTGAGCCCTATTTTGATGCTTCTTTGAAAGTGTAGATTATAACACTACCTCACGATTGCGTGACACCGGCTTACGGCCGAGCAAAATTTTGAGAGTACTGGAACCGTACGTGTAGCGGAAGTCCGAGTCGCCGTCAGGGTTTCCCAT